GTACAAGGGACGGCATGACTACAAAAACACAAGGAACAGGCAGCTGTTGTGTGCCTGTTTATTTCCTTCTGCAGTCCGCCTTTCCCTGCTGAGACTCAAGGTGGGTCACGAAACAGAGAGAGCAAGGAGAGACATACTCACGCCATGGATTCGAAGCTCCTCTTTCAACGGCGCCAAGCTGCATTTCTTTCCCAACATGCAACTGTACCACCTGTTAAAATAGGTTTTTTAAAGAGTTAGGCCATTCTATCGTAGTCAGCAGCTGCATTTTTAAAAAAAAAACGGGGGCGTGGGAGTACAGAGGAGGGGAAGCCATGCGAGAGAGACCAAAACCTACCCCCCCCCCCAATCCAAAGATAAATGTGATGCTTAATGAGATGGAAGGTATTAGGTGGCGTGTGCTGGGGGGGGGGAGCTAGTTGAATGTGAGAATCTGGATTGTCTGTGTTACAAACAGCTGTTTCTTGGACCCAGATATTAGACCAAATCAAAGAATACATGGGATAGGATATCCCAGAAACCTCAGAAGCAGTCCTTCTCAATCTGTGGGAGAGTAAAACAACTCCTAAAGCTCACAGAGAACTCATCATGACAATGCTGACAAGCTGCCAAAGCTCTGATAACTTCATGTATGAAAAAAGAATTCCTCCCTTTGGGGGTATTGCATGTTATATAGATTTTGACTAACAGCACAAATCAAACAGATTTAATAGAGAATCAGTACCCATTATGAAGCAACTGCTGGACTGATTTCCCTGATTATATTGACATTTTAGAATAGCTACCTCCACTTTTCTGTCTGCTTCCTCCTCCTCCTCATTACCTTGTTTTGTGCTCTATACATATGCTTTGTATATTATATAATAGAACAGTGTCAAAATTGTATTCCTTCTATAAAAATTGTATATTTTCCCTAAAGAATATCTCTCCTTATATATAAAAAAGAGGTTTGGTGTGACTCCTGGACACATTCCCACAGCCTTTGGCCTGCTCAGCTGCCACTCTCATGGACTCCCAATCCCGTGGCTGCAGTGGCTCACTGTGTGGGCACGGCCCCGCCCACCAAACTGGTGGGCAGCCTTTCGCCCTCACTCTGGAGGGAGCCGGGGCAGCGAGTGGAGTCTCAGCCTCACTGTGCTGGGAGCCAAGGGACAAGACGGGCTTTCCAGCGGCCAGAGGATGAGGAGACCGACTGCGAGACAACGGGGGAACACAGGGAAATGGCAGAGAGCCTGCAATGGCACGAGTCACCGCGGCTCACCATTTGCAGGACCAGCTGAAGACGGAGAGGTGGCTGGATGCTCACGGGCCCAGTGGTGGGGACGTGCCGCACTCAGTGAAGGGGAGTTTGGCAACGACGCAGACGAGACCCAGGCCAATCCTGCCGACGCCTCAGCCTTTATTGTCAGCTGAGGCCGACTCGAGGCTGCTGGACGCCAGGGGCCACAGGGCTGACGGCGGTGGAGGCGGCCTAATGGATGCCGCCACCCAGCCGGGCAAGGAGGCAGTGGTGGCCCCTTCCGTCACCCCTCCACTCTCGAGGCTGGGGAGAGGGGAGCGACCGGGGACCGATCCTCTCGCCGCTGTGCCTGTCGTTGCTGCCGGCCCAGCCCCAATCCACCTCGCTGCCCGGCCTGCCCCTACACAGTTCTGGTCACCACACCTTAAAAAGGATATTATAGCTTTGGAAAAAGTGCAGAAAAGGGCAACTCGAATGATAAAAGGGTTGGAACACTTTCCCTATGAGGAAAGGTTAAAGCGCTTAGGGCTCTTTAGCTTGGAGAAAAGACGACTGAGGGGTGACATGATCGAGGTTTATAAGATTATGCATGGGAAAGAGCAGGTAAAGAAAGAGGTACTTTTCTCCCTTTCTCACAATACAAGAACCCGTGGGCACTCCATGAAATTGCTGAGCGGTCGGGTTAGAACGGATAAAAGGAAGTACTTCTTCACCCAAAGAGTGATTAACACTTGGAATTCACTGCCACAGGAAGTGGTGGCGGCTACAAGCATGGACGGCTTCAAAAGGGAATTAGATAAGCATATGGAGCAGAGGTCCATCGGTGGCTATTAGCCACAAGGTATAGATATGGGCTCTGGGGCAAGTGATGCTCTGTCTTCTTGGTGCTTGGGGGGGGGGTCAACAGTGGGAGGGCTTCTAATGTCCTGGCCCCACTGCTGGACCTCCTGATGGCACTGGTATTTCTGGCCACTGTGTGACACAGAGTGTTGGACTGGATGGGCCTTTGGCCTGATCCAACATTGGCGTCTCTTATGTTCTTATGTTCACACGGAGGCCGGTGCACCGCCAGCGCGGAGAGTGCTCAACGTGGCCCCAAGGCTGTGGCTGTCCAGGGAGCCAGTGCTAGGCCATTCCCTCACCCCTTGAGCCATGGGACCAGCAGTGGGGGGACGTCCCTTATTCTCCTTGGAGGCGACCTGCACCCCGACTGCCACACCTGACGGAGGGCCCTCATGCTGATGCTGCTCCTCCCGCCGCTCGGAGGACAGCAAGCATGTGTGCAAAGGGGCCCAGTGGCGGCCCATACCGCCACTCTGGGGTCTCGCCAGCACGTCCAGGGCAGGGCCCCGGGGAGGTCTCCCGTCTTTCTAGGGCTCGTATTGTTCCTACAACGGGCCTTGCTCCTAGTCCACCATATATTTATAAGGTTTTACATACTGTAATCTCTGATCAAGCTGTATATCTCTATGTTACTGCTGTTTGTTATCTGTCAGTCTAGAGTCTTACATTTTAATAAAGTATGTAAGTAAAAAAGGGAATAATTCTCCCTCTTCCCTTTTTTACTTACCGTGTTTCCCCGAAAATAAAGACACTGTCTTATATTTATTTTTTCTCAAGAAGACACACTAGGGCTTATACCACACATGCATAGAAATCCTGCTAGCGCTTATTTTTGGGGTAGGTCTTATTTTCGGGGAAACAGGGTAATATACTTTATTAAAATGTAAGACTCTAGACTGACAGGGGGAGGGGTGAGAGTGGCATCTGACAAGAAAGGACTCAGCCTTGGCCTCAGTCTTCAGAGCCAGGGGGCACACAACCTGTTCCCTGGATTGTACAAAAGAACACACGTAAGTGCCACAGAGCAAGCACAGAGTGCATTGTCCTCCTCACTGAACAAATAGGGAGCCCTAAAACACACACCAGGGAGAAGGGGAATGACTTCCTGGCTGACTTGCGCCCCCTTCGCCCCTCTTTCTCCAAGGAGAAGCATCTGGAAAGCTGAACAAGAGGAGGAGAGGGAGAAGTGGATGGGGGACGCTGACGAGATGGGAGGTGCTGGACAGGAGCAGAACAACAAGAAGAAGAGATTGGATTTACACCCCGCCCTTCACTACCCGAAGGAGTCTCAGAGGGGCTTACAAACTCCTTTCCCTTCCCCTCCCCACAACAGACACCCCGTGAGGCAGGTGGGGCTGAGAGAGCTCTCTCAAGGACTGCTCTTGAGAGAACAGCTCTGAAAGAACGTGTGACTGACCCAAGGTGACACCAGCAGCTGCATGCGGAAGAGTGGGGAATCAAACCCGGTTCCTCCCAGATTAGAGTCCGTGCTCCTAGCCACGACACCAAACTGGCTCTTAGATCAGGAGAGAAAAAGATTGGGAGGGAGAAATCAGCAGAGACAGTGAGAAAGCAAAGGAGAGGGAAAAGAATGCAGTGGAAACGGGAGAAAGAGAGAAGGGCACATCTGTGACAATAACAAGGGGATGAGTGGATTTCACCAACACATCCCTCCCACTGCAGATTCCCACACTGCCTCCCCCCCCCCTTGCTGACCCCCAGTATTGGACTTTCAGTCATTCAGTAAGCTGCAATCAAAGGGGAGAAGGTGTGGAAGTCCGGACCCACCCTCAGCTTCATTCCCGGGCACTGCTATGAATCAAACCCATCGCTTTATCTGAAGTATCGGTGTCCTTCACTCCCCAATCGATCTGCCCGGTGCCAAGTGAACGGTGTTAGAAAGGGCCGGTTAACGTGCAACGGGAAAGGCAGTTTTATCTCAAAGAAACAGCTGAGAAAGACACCGTTTCTGGTAACAGGTATAAAACGAGGAGTGTTTTGGTGCACAATCTTGCTATCAACGGGCCGACGTTCTGAGCAGGATAAGGGGCTCCCTCGCCCTTCCCCCTGTCTCCCCTCCCTCTTCCTAACTCCTCACCTCAGTCTCTTCTTCAGCTGCAGGCTGTCGTGGATGATCCTCTTGACGAATTCCAGCTCTCCACCTTCGGCCATGATCTCGGTGATGCCTCCCGTGTTGACCGAGCTGGGAGGGGGCCTCCTGGGATTGCGGGAATTGACTCCCTAGAAAAGGACACACAGTTCTTACACCAAAAAACCCGACACGTGCACTGGATGTTTTAACCATTATTTCTGCCTGCCTTTGCACCTCCATTTCTACCTCACTCACAGCGGAAGTGTATGCAGAGAGGCTGGAATCAGTTGCCCCAGACGGGACCAGTCTACACAGGATTCCACTTCCATCTGCTCTATACCCGCCTTGCTTTCTCGTGTCGTTTTTCCTTCAAGGAATCCCTTCTCTTCCTTCAAATACCTCCTCAAAAGCTCACCTCAACCATGACTATCTTAAGCTAGGTCTAAACTCACTGCAGGAAGTGCCATTTTTGTGTGACCTGCTTACCTATGGGTAATAATTATCAAGAACGTATGGTGGGTTGACTTGCTTGCTTGCCACCTGTCAGACCCCTGGACAAAGTTACTCTCAACAACACTCTCTTTGGCAGTGATTTGTTTATTGAGAAATAAAGATGTTCCAGGCCAGATCAGCACAGTGTCAGAACTGGGGCTCTGATGGGAGAATCCAAAGATATAGGCAGTTCAAATGAGGCCCCCCCCCCACTTCAGTGACATCCAATCATACACCCCAATCGTCCCGCCTATCTTTCACGCACTCCACAACCCCCAACTGTGAATATATGGTTTCTTTATCTATAACAGTGAGGCAGGTACAGTTACACTCCAAGGTCATCCCTGACACAGGGAGGTAATCGTAGGAAGAGTTACATTGCCACTATGACAGAGCTGTTCACACTCGCTCACTCACACCCCTCCCTCAGGAATTTCCCTTCCCTCTGCAGGCCCCACAGCCCCCCAAAACATGGCAAACTAGAGACCAAGTTTGACACCACCTCAGGAATTCTGTGACGCTCTGACATTCAGAATGCCACGGGTTCAGAAGACCACAACTGCATTATCCTCACACGGACAACATTTTTCTCATCTGCAGGCCACCGAGTTCCAATTCCAGAATGGCTGAGGGAACGGATACTATCTAGCCACCTGAGTGTCTATGATACTCCTTCAAAATACTGGCTTTGGATATAGCAGATAAGATTTCCTTTGCTCATGGGACATGTAAGCTCCAGGGAGGAAATGCAGGGTCACGGAAAAGAGTTTTTTAAAAATCTGTTATATCATGCAATGTGAATTGTTGCTTGCAGCTACAAACACCTGCGGCAAGTAAACATGGTAAACAATATATCACTGATTGGGAACACAATCAGTATTGTTTAGACCAGGCCTCAACCTGCACCCTCCCCAGAAACAAAGACTGAAAGTGTGTTTTCTCCCATCCATCCTAAGATATGCTTTCCTCGACCATCCCATCATCTCTGGGATGCTGGTCTCCCTCATTTCTCTCTTCTACACGTTTCCTTCAGTTGTTCCCTCACTGCTAAAACAAGATCACCATCATTGGAACAGGAACCTGCCTTTTTGCCTGTGAAATTCTGTAAAGCACCATCCATATCAAAGAAGGGCTGTGGCTCAGTGGCAGAGCATCTGCTTGGCATGCAGAAGGTCCAAAGTTCAATCCCCACCGCCACCAGTTAAAGAGTCTAGCAGTAGGTGCTGTGAAAGACCTCTTCCTGAGACCCTGGAAAGCCACTGCCAGTCTGGGTAGACAAGACTGACCTTGATGGACAAGTCTTCTGGTTCTGCATAAGGCAGCTTCTTATTTTGGGGGGAGAGGCTGTGGATCACTGGTGGAGTGTTTGCTTGGCATGCAGAAGTCCCCAGGTTTGATCCCTGGTGTAATGATTTCATGTTTTGGTGTGCGTGTTTCTTTAAATGTTTAGTTTGACTGTAGTAATGTAAAGAGAGCGATAGAGGGAGATGAGTGCGATGTGATTGGCTGATGACTGAGAGTGTGGGAGGAGAGGTGTCTATGAGAGTGATTCTGTGTTTTTGGTGAGTGTGGAGAGTGATTGTTTTTAGCCTGTATGGCAGAAGAAGCAGTTTGAGTCTATCCTGTGTGACTAAGACAAACAGTTTAGCCTGTGTGGCTAAGAAAGGCAGAGTTTAGTCTATGTGGCTAAGGCTCGCAGAGTTGAGTTTTGGCGTTTTGAGAGACAGTGTGTGATGCCTAGCTTTATCAGTTATATTTATAAATTCCTTTCTTCAACAACAGCTCAAAAATACCCAGAAACCTATTTTGCTCTTTTATAAATAAATCATTATTTGTTTAAACTTATCCCAGCAGTCAGAACAGTCCTTCCTCAGGACCACATAGTCCTCTGAAGTGCCCAGACGCAGGGTCATTCAACCGTAATAGAGAGATCTGGAATTTTTAATTCCTGGTGGCAGCAGTAATCTACTAAATTTATGTGAACAGAGTGTGTTTTAAAGGAAAAACAGTTTCCTCAGTAAGGAGGACGTCACACCTGGTATCTCCACTTAAAGGATCAGGAGTAGATAACACAGAAGACTTCTGCCTGAGACCCTGGAGAGGCACTGCCAGTCTGAGGAGACAAGACTGACCCTGATGGACACAAACCGTCTGATTCAGGAGGAGGCAACTTCATGTATCTTCATGTGTTTGTGTTGGTCTCCCACCCTCCCAAGATAGCCTTTCACATT